GAATGAACAAATATGACATATTTCAACTATTTCCATAAAACTAAGAAATTTTCTATAGACTTGATAGTTCATCATTAGCTTATTGTGAGAGCATTTCATGTTCTTTTTTTTGTTGTTCAGGAAGAAAAGCTGCAAAATATTTGAAGTCATATACAAACAACAAAAGCTAATAGTTAACTGCTAAGAGAAATACTTTTAAAATTTCCTGATGTTTGCCTCAGGAAAAACTGTTAAGAAGCAATGACTGGCTACACACAGACTCAATTAGCACATTGTGATTACTCTGAATAAAAAAAGACAACACTTTTAAGTCTTCCAATGACCACAGGTAGTATCAAAACAGTCTCAGAAAAATATTAATATGAACTGGAACTTTTAAAAACCTGGGGGAGGGAGAATTTATATCCACTATTGACTGATAGAAATAGTCTAGGGATATGTTTTAAAAAAATGAATCATTAGGCAATTCTGTCATCAAACATCACAGAGTATGCTTACATAAATTAAGACAGCTATGTCACTAGGTAATATAATCGTATGGTACCATGATCATCTATGAGTCATTGTTGACCACGATGTGATTATGTACCACGTTACTGTATATATGTTAATACCATTCTCCCACCATATTGATTTTTATCATATGCCATTAAAAACTACGTTCCCCAGTCTCCCTTGCAGCTACATGTGACTAAATTCTAACCAATAAGATATAAGCATGTGTCCTGTGTGATAGATACTCAGAAGTTTCCGTTTGCCATGGCTAGACTTCTTTTGGGCTTCACTGGCACAAGAGAAATAACTCCTATTTTGTTTAAACCACTACTGCTTTCATTTTTCTGTGACATATAACCAAACCTAATTTTGAATTTTTTTGAAAAAAAAATTTACTTCATGAAAAACCCTGTGCTACATGCTGCAGGGGAAACAAAGGTATTTAAAAGGGCTAGAGGTGGCTTAAGTAGTAGAGCACCTGACTAGCAAGTTTAAGGCCTGAGTTCAAACCCTATTTATACCCTTTTCCCCCAAAAAATGGTATGCAGGATTTAGACACAAAAGGATTGGGTGAGATGGTTCTGTCCCAGGATGAAAGAAGCATCAAGAATTTAGCAGGACCATGTGGTCATGGAGTTATGGGAGATGAAGCAAGGAAATGTGATGAAAGGAGCTTGAATGCCAGCCTGATGAGGTTGGACTTCATCCCATGACAGATGATCAGGGCAGATAAACTTGCCCCCAAATAGGACTTGTCCAAGGCTACCCGGCAGGGAGCAGCAGAGCTAACCTCAGTTCTGCTGACCCTTGATCCAACACCATTCACAACCCTAGGCGATCTCTGAGAAGAAGTAGCAGAACAGAGGTTTTGGAACATGACTAGAAACAATAGTTCTCTCCGTCTTCTACCATGCATAAAGTGTATTTTTTAACAGAAATATTTTAGTTGAAAACTCTAGTTCCCCTTTCTAAGACAGCTCACTTAGTTTGATACAACCTCTAGAAAACTTGCTACTGAGATCATAAAAAAAATTTTTAAAGCCACGACATACATGAAAATATGCATCCACATATAACTTCAGTTTTGTTCAGGTTTTGAAGTGGGTCTAAGCTAAGGTTGTTTACATTGCTTTATTATGGTCTATCCCTCTTTTTATCGCATTGCTAGCATTGCCATTTGTAAGGGAATATTACTTTGCCAATATTTTCTACAGAATGTTCTGAAGAAAATCCACTCACCCAATAATTTCTAAAATGTCAAACACTATGTTAAGTACTATGAGAGGAGAGAGATAAAACTGGGGCTCTGAGCTTAAGCAACTCACAATAAAATAGAATTATCTGTTTCAAGTTCCCACTTGCCTCTTCTTGCCACAGGATCACTTCACTGGCCTCTTTTAGCTTAGTTTATTTATCACAGATGATAGATCAATGACAAGTTTTAAATGTTTTATTTTCACTTCAGAGGTAATCTAAAGAGAAATACAAGCATGTTCGGGGGCATCTGAATTGCCACTTCATAGCTAAGCCGTGCTAAAGAGCTCCCATGTCTGAGCTTTCTTCTCACACTCAGTAGACCACAGATTGTCCAGGATAATGTGAAAAGAATGGAGCCAAGTTTAAAATGTTATCTGTGACTCTAGAGAATTCAATGACCTCATAGCATACTCTTAAAAGGAGAACTGAGTCATCACAGGCCTGGGGGAGAGTTAACCTGACACATAGAAAAAGCCCCTACACACTTTTAATAGTTGTTACCGTATTCTCGATACACTGGAAATTTACTTTCAGCAAAATACCAAGCACACCGAACAGTTTAGACTGGTTGTTTGTAATTAGTTTTAGATAAAAGCTAGGGAGTTTATATTTTTATGCATGTACATATTAATATCCCCTCCCAAAACAAGGGTCTTATTTTTTTTTTTCTTTTCTTTTGCAGTAGTGGGGTTTGAACTCAGGACCTACACCTTGAGCCAGTCCACCAGCCCTTTTTTGAGATGGATTTTTTCGAAATAGTGTCTCACAACTATTTGCTGGGGCTGGCTTCAAACCACAATCCTCCTGATCTCTGCCTCCTGAATAGCTACAATTACAGGTCTGAGCCATTGGTGCCCAATTCTGATTTTTTTTTTTTTAAACATGGGTGTACACACAACACAAAATATAGAAATAGTGACTTGGCTCTTATTCCATGCAGGGCCCAGCTCTTTACCTAAATTTTTCTGAGGCAATAGGCTAACCTATCATGAAACTATAAAGCTGAACACTTTGGCTTTACTAGAAAGTTCAAATTGGTACACATACAATAACCCAATTTTTTTTAGGTCATGTATCTGTTCTTCCAAATGGAAGAAACAGGTGATTTGGCTCACAGGAACACAGAAGTGACTTTGCACATTTTCCTCCTGTTTAAGGACATTATCCATGCGACAGGCACTTAACATCTACAGCCAATCTTCAATTCAAGAAGGGACATTATATTCTCAATACACCCTGGATGGTATTAATGACAGCAGCTAAAACCAAAGGACCTGAAATAAATGTTTAATGTAGATAATCATTAAGAGAAATCATTAACGCTAACCTTAATTGCTAAGACGTGTTTTAGGCTGTTCCAATTAAAAGCATTTACACTCTAGAAATCAATACTTTACACTTGGGCAACGTTCTCACAAATCTTATTAAGAAAAGTAAAATATTGCAGTGTTTAATACATTATAGACGTGGGTTTGTTATTTTTTTTTTTTGAGTTCCTAAATCCCAAGCAGTAAAACACTCCAATAAATATTTTAAAAAATCTGTGTGTGTAGCTAGGGCTTGAACTGAGGGCCTCACACATACTAAGCAAGTGCTCTACCACTGAACTATACCCCCAAGCCACAAACACTGCAATAAATACTTTAACAATATAAACCTCACATATTTAAGATTCCTGTTAAAATTGTAGTCCTCAAATTTTATGTAGTTTTTGCTTCAAAAAGTCATCTTTCAGCCTGGAGGTTTTGCTCAAGTGGGTGTAAGGCCCTGAATTCCAACCCTAGTACCACCAAAAAAGTCCATCTAGTTTCTAGCCTGGTGTGTTGGCTCATAACTATAATCCCAGCACTCAAGAGGATGAGGCCAACCTGGGCTACCTGACAAGACCTTATCTCAAAAGAAAAAAAAAAAAGAGTCCATCTTCCTTTCTGCAAAGTTCAAAAATATTCAACAATTTTCACTAGAAAATTATTCCCAAATAATGTGCGGTAACTTGGCCTATTATTTATGCGATTGCTGTTTTCTTGCTTTTGTTCAGTTTCTTTACAAGTAATATAACAGAACCATCGCAACTCAAGACGTTAACACAGCTAAGAACACACAGGATGGATTCAGAACACTAACCCAATTTCCAGGGACATGGGTGTAACACTGAGCACACACACCCTTACAAATCCCGTATAGCAGACCAAATCCTACTTATGGCAATTCAGTTTGATGTTTAAGAAAAATCGCTAGTAAACCTCCATGAAGAATAAACAAGTTACCACAGATTTTTCTTATTTCTTAGTCACATGTACACAAGGCAAGGCACTAGGCCAAATATAAACTTATATTGATATCTTGAGTCATACTGATAGTCCTGGTACATTTTCCTTCATCAGAAAAATATAAATGAATTTACAAAATATCCATTTCCACAAAAACACTGATCAAACGGGGCAGTAAAATATTTGAGACCGGGTGTGGTAGTTCACGCTTATTTTATTCACAGCTACTGGGGAGGTCGAGATAGGGAGGATATCGGTTCAAGGCCGGTTCAGGCAAAAAGTTAGTGAGACAACCCCCCCCCCCCAATCTCGACAAACAAGAGAGGTGTGGCTCACTTCTGTAATCCCAACTACAAAAACAAAGGTAAGAGGATCACAGTCCAAAAAGAGAAGATCCTATCTGAAAAATTACCTAAAGCATGGCTGAAGTGGTAGAGCGCCTACCTAGCAAGCTCGAGGCCCTGAGTTCAAATTCCAATACCATTAAAAAAGATGTAAGCTCCAACCCACTTCGACTCTTTAGTCGAGTACCTACGGGAACGAACCCCACCCGTTAACATGATGTACTGCCTACCACCCTACGTTAGGGCCTCTGCGCAATCGTGGGACACAAGCACGACTATGGTGACTTTACAGGACAGGAATCTAAAGCCCAGGGAGTTTAGGAAATGCCTATGGCTAAGCGGCTCCCAAGGGCTGGAAGTAAAATCCTCACCCAAGTCTACACCGCCACCCCGACAAGACTCGCCTGTGGAGCTTTCCGCAGGCTTACGACACCGCGGCAGGGAAAACTTCCTAAGCAGAGTGCGGCTCCCGCAGGCCTGTGCTAGGCTGCACGGCTAGGCCTCGGAACCCGCACGTTTCAGAAAGAAAACGTTAGCGTTTAAACTCGCTGCACGTTGGCGCCGCTCGCCGGCCGTCGCGCCTTCCCGGCTGCGGACGCCTTTCCGCCCGCCCTGCTGGCTCCCGCGCACTCACCTTCTGCTCCTCTGCCGAGGCTGCCTCGGGGACTTCCGCAGACATGGTGCTCTTTCTGCAAACGAGAGGCCGGGGAAAATGCGATTACCGGGTGGCGAGGCCGCCCGGCCGCCGCCTTAGCCCCGCCCCGCTCCCCCCAAACGGCGGCCGCCTCAGCCCAAGGTGGCTGCCGCCTTGGGACGACAAGAGCTCCGAAGCGCACGCCGCCGCGGCTTCAGCCTGCCAAGGCCCACCTGCCCCTCCCGCGTCGCACCGCGCCGTGCCCCTACCGGCCAAAGCCCGCTCCTCTGGCTCGGCGACGCCCGAACACTTCCTTTTTCCTTCAAAGGTCGCGGCGCGAGTCTTACCTCACTTCCGGCTACGGTGGCCCAATGCTTCCCGGGAAGCGTAGTTTTGCATGCAACGGTCTCTCCCAGCCTTTTCCGGCTTACTCTGATCCTTTCTGTGCTTGGAGTCTCTTCTCTCTCTCTTCCTTCTTGCTCTCAGCTCTGCGGCCACGAAGGCTTTCTTTTGTGTTCTCCAAAGCTCTGCTTCTGCTTAACTCCATTCATACTTCATTTTCCCAATTCTTCCTCACTTTCCTTCCTGCAGTAGGCCAGATCCACCTTTTAAATGCTATCACAGCTCTGAATAGTTCAAGCACTGTATCATTAGACAAGAGTTGTGATTACTTTATAAATGTCACCTTTCCTGCTCGGATAAGCCACACTAAGGAAGGGACCTCGTCTGTATTTTCTTATATTTCACTTCTGAGACCCTCCCAGACCTTGGCATTTGCAATAAACAAACAAATGGATTCAAATTCCATTCACTTGTCCACCCCAAAGGGGTCCACTCCCACAACTTTACTAAAACTGCTGGCATAAGAGCTCCCCCAGTGACCACATCCAATTTATCTGCCTCTTAATTGGAGATTCTAAAAGTTACAGGTTTTTTTGGCAACGCTGGGATTTGAACTCAGGGCCTCACTTGCTCTTACCACTTGAGCCACTCCACCAGCCCTTTTTTGTGGTGGGATATTTGAGATAGGGTCTCACACACTATTTGTCTGGGGATGGCTTCCAACCACAATCTTTCTGATCTCTGCTTTCTGAGTAGCTAGGATTACAGGCATGAGCCACCTGCGCCTGGCTTCTAACAGTTATATTCTTGACTCCCCTTCTTTTCTAGTTTTACACTACTCAGGAGATCACCTCCACCCTTATATCTTCAACTATAGTCTAGATTAGGGTATCCAAAACACTTTCTGTGGTAATGGAAATCTCTCATATCTGTACTACCCAATACAATAGCCACTAGACATATACTGCTGTTGAGCATTTGAAATGCGACTAGTACAACTGAGGAAATGAATGTTTAATTCAAAATATTTAGCCGAAGCTGGCGGAGTGGCTCAAGTGGTGGAGTGCTTGCTTAGCAAGCCTGAGATCCTGAGTTCAAACCCCAGTACTGCCAAAACCAAAACCAAAACCAAAACACCTATACTAAAATATTTAGCCCCAGAGATTAGAATCACTAAGAAACCTCCTTGACAGAGATTCTTATCACATGTAAATCTTGGGCAAAGTCCTCGGACTCAATCAAAGCTCCCCTGGTTATTCTAAAGCACACATGCGCAATATATATTATATACATTTATATGTATATAAATTATTCTATATATAATTATAAATTATATATATGCAAATATGTAATATATATTTGGGATTTGGTAGGTGTGTAAAAGCTTTGAAAATATCAGAGATCGTTTTTAAGGTTTAGTTGCTCTGGCTCAAGAGTTTACAGCTGAAAGTGGAAGTCCAGCTGTATCACCAGGGTATACAGCAAACACTGAGAATGGAAGATATTTTTAATCAAAGGCAAATGAGAGACTGAAAAAAAAATCAACTAAGAGAAACCAAGTATGATACTGAGCACCCAAAAGTCCAGGGACTTTGTAGTCGGAATATAAAAAAAAAACACTGTGGGAACAGGGCTGGGGTTTGAACTCAGGATTTTGTGCTTGAGAGGCGGGTGTTCTACCACTTTGAGCCATGCCTCCATTCCTGGAATGGAAAACTTGAATGAATCAAAAAAAAAAAAAAAAAAGAATGTGAATAGTGGAGTGGGAGGGATCCTGGTTCTGATCCTGTGTTCTGATCCTGGTTCTGATCCTATGTTCTGAAGTCTAGACCATATGGTGTGTCACGTTCCAAAGTTTTAGCAGTTACCACCCTGTGAAGTAGTAGCTGTGAGAGCATACCTGAGGGAGGGGATTTCACATTTACTTTATATATTTCTACAGTGAGAAAACATTTTGTAATAAACATGTATTACATAATTTTTAAAAGTTAAAAAGAGAATCACAGCTTCATTCACAAACTTCAATAGGAAAGAGTGGTGATCCCAAACATAAAAGCTTTGAAGGAGAAATTTTCCCCTTCTTTAATCCTCTGGAGATAACAGATTTATCTAGTGTGGAGGGTGGGGGAAAGTCAGGAAATGAAGGAAACTTCTGTTGAGTACTTTCCAGCTAGGTCGCATTTATCACTCATTAATACTTTTTCACTCTTAGAACAGATTTTAGCATTCTCATTTAAAACATCTCCAGAGATTTTCTATACATTGTTTGTGGTCTGTAATTCCTTTTTGAAGGGTGTTATTAGTTATGACTCATTTTATTAATTGGCAGTGCTGCCAAGGAAGCTTGCAATAAGTGAAAACTCTTTTACTTACCAGAGGTAGTAATACTGCTTGCTGGCATCTTTACCTGCATATCACTCAATTGTGATACAATCTAATGATATAATCTTTGAACACATATACAGAAAGTGTGGTAAAGTCTTGGCCTATGACTGAAAAAGGGTAGACAGAGAACCAGTGTGACAGAAATAACACCACAGTAAATGACAGAAGACAGGTGCTAGGTAACTATATCTCCCATAGGAAAAACATGGGCAAAAAAATGCCTAATAAGTAGCAGGAGAAAATAGCCAGCACACGCTTCCTTTGTGCAGACTTGCTGGAAAGAGCGTAATATCCACCCAGATGCTTCAATCAGTGCTGTCATTCGGATATTGTTTGTGTCCCCCCAAGGCTTTGTGTGTTGTAATTTAGTATCTACTGTAAGGTATTGAGGGTGAAATTTAATCCAAGTTTGGTGTTTATGGATGGGGCCTCTGGGAGGTGATTAGGGTTACAGTTATTAGGATGGAGCTCCCATACACCCATTCCCACCTCCTGCCTTTTATCATGGGATGCCCTGTGCTGTCTCAGGACTTGACTACCACCAGATGCAGCCCCTTGACCTTGTACCTCCAGAAACATCAGCTAAAAATAAACTTTTCCTTTATAACTTACCCGGTCTGTGGTATTGTGTAATCAGCAACAGAAAAATAGAATAATACAATCAACTTCTTAAAAATACTCAGAATGGTTGAAAGACCATGTACTAGAAGGAATTCTGGAAATATTGCAGTATGGTATCTGTATAAAAAGATACCTGCACAAACATACATACTAGCTTTAAATTTTACTAAAGAAATTAATGAAGCAACAATAAAATGATCAAAATTGACTTCTCCCAAATAGATAAGAAATCTAGATATATATCTTTTGAAATGTTCCATTAAAATACTTAAAGAAATGGGTCTGAGTACAGCTTAGTGGTAGAGCACATGCCTGGCATGTGCGAGGCCCTGGATTCTATCCCAAGCAGTATGAAAAAAAATAAAAAGCAGGGCACAATAGCATACACCTGTAATCCAACCTACCAGGGAGGTTGAGGTAGGCAGATCAGCAGGTTTGAAGCCAGTGAGGGAACACAACAGGACCCAGTATCACAAGAAAGATTATCAGTCTGGAAAGATTGTAAGACCTACCTACATACAGTCTATTTTTTTAAAAAAAGAAATTGGATAGGATTGTGGTTTGAGGCCAGCCTAAGCAAAACAAACAAACAAACAAAAAACAAAACGCAAAAACAAAAGTAAAGCAAAGAAGGCTAGGGGTGTGGCTCAAGTGGTTCAGAGTTCAGACCCTGGGACCAAAAAAAAAGCTCAGTGACACAACCTGAACCAACACATTCAACTTACAGCAAGAAGCTGCTGAATAAAGGTATTTTTAATAAAAATAATTAGATTACAGGACTGAAGAAAACTTAGCACACCTAATTAGCATAGAGATTTAGCAGCACCTTGGTGAAAATGGATAAAACCCTTCCATTACCTTGTTTCTCAGGTTTATACCCATCCCAACTATGGGGGCTCAATTCTCCCTGTTACACTTTTCTGTCTCAGTAAGTTCTCCTGCTTCACTCACAAAAAAAAGAGAAGAAAGGTACATTAATGATACTTTCACCTCATCTTGTCAGACAGACCTAGCAAGGTTAGAGGATTTCTGGACTCAGTTCCATCAGATACCACTAAAAGTTAAGGTTGTAATTCAATTATTTGAGTTATAGCCTGGAGATTAAGTTTTATGGAATATGAGTAATGCCTTTTCTTTTTTAACTGGTATGTATGTATGCATGCATGTATTTGTGTATTTATTTACTGGTACTGAGTTTTGAACCCAGGGCTGTGGCCATGCTAGGAAAGCACTCTAATACATGAGCTATGTCCCCAATCCTTTTTTGTTTGTTTTTGTTTTTAAATTTTGTTTTTTGACACAAGGTTGGGTCTCTCTGCCTAGGCTGGCCTTGAACTCAACATCTCTTCCCTCTGCCTCCTGAATAGCTGGTATAAGAGGTGTGTGCCACCATACGTGACCGCTTAACTGGTATCTTAAATGTATAAGAGGCTTCTGTTTGCTATGTCACAGCCTGTAGCCACACTTATAACTTGGCTAGATTCTCATAAGTTATCTGTAGCCAGATCCTAAAGTCAAGGGTTTCTTCTCTACCCATTCCAGACTGCTCACCTAATTTCAGACTGCTGGGTCTGGCCTACTTGTGTGGTCTATATTTTATAACCTGAGTCATGGATTTCTATTAGTACTCCCAGTATTCTTGCCTTGTTACCCATTGTCTCAACACAAGCACTCAGAACCACTTTGTTTCTAAGCATGTTAGAAGGAAGGCTTTTGGTGTTTTTGGTCAAGTCTTCTAGCTTCACAGTGTTTCCAACAACCTTCCATTGTGACCATTAACAAAGAAGTGACAAACTGTAGCAAGACTCAAGACATCTTCCCCTGCCCCACCTTGGTAGCTGTAGTGGTAGAATGGAAACTGACAGCTAATTCACCTAGTCACATGAATGTCTCATCTAAAAATAAAGGCCAGATACACATCTTTTAGTTTTTTTGCATATATTTACAATATAAATACTAATTTGCTTTCAAAGTACATATTCTTTTAACAATTTGAGAAAATTATCTAGCATGGGACAGCAATTTAGTGTAAAGCCTCTACGGTGGTGATTAAGGAAAAATAGAGCTGTGTGGGATGATGGGCATGAGGATGTGAGCTTGCCGGGAGTGCGAGGCAGCTCAATGTGCCCTGCACTGCTGATATGGCACGTGAAAGGGCTGCCATGTGAGGCAGTGGCCTGGATGGGGAGCTGAAGACTAAATTTGAGAGAGATAAAAAGTACACATGCTTGCATAGTGCGTTAATTGTGAAGGAGCTCGACATTTCATTCTTGTTTCAACAGCTTAAATGAACAGCACTTACAACACCACACAAAATTAAAGACTTGAGCATACATTTCAGATTTCAACAGTAATGTCAAAAATACACAGCATGAGTTTACACAGGATCTGTGCTACATTAGAACAGTACAGACAAACATCACTTGAGTATTAAGGAAAACATTAAATATTAAATAACAAATAAAATGTGTAAACACTAATCTAACTGGGGATTTTGCTATTGCAACGTGTCCAATGAAGTGGTTTCAACAGTACAAGAAGATTAGGACATGAATGTTTCCAGTCTACTTGGAATATGTGGATCTCATTTTAGGAATCCTTTAATAAAAACTGGTCCAGGACAGCAGGAGAGGATCTACTCTCCTGATTGTTAATTTGGTGCACTCCATTCTATGCTAATTTTTACTTTCAAACTTGGGTAGCGAGTGAATACTTTAAACTGTCACTCCTTATCAACATCTTGGTGAAAACTGAGGGTTTGTTGGCGATTCAGTGTAAGATTTGAGTTCATATGCAGCACCACTATCAACCTCCATTGACTTTCTGGAGAACAGGAGCCGGACGTCTCTATGGAGGTACATCTTTCCAGACTTAGAACTCTGGAACCTAAACAATAAACCAAAAGGGTAATCATTTCAAGGAACAAGTGTTTAAAACAAACAGATTGAGTAATCACAATCTGAAAGTAGGAAGGACTGATCTTGCTTCATTACTAGGTTAACTGTCACAAGGTATTTCAGGTCTTACATTGTCCAAGCCTGTGCTTCTAGTTTTAGTGCCTCTCCCTTTCTACTCCCCAGACATTTCATACTCTTTTCCTTTCTTACCATGCCTGAGACGCTTCCTTCTGGGAGTCCAGGATTCGAGCACCGTCTTGCTTTTCCTTCCTGACTCCACGGCACCTGTACCTTTCCTCATTCAGTGTCTACTCTCAGTCACACCAGCCAGTTATCCTACTGGCTTTGCAGCACTGGCATCTTCTAGACATACAGACTGACACTTTCACACAAGTAAGCCTCTCATGATTTGTGGTAGAATAAAATGAATTCCACACTTGAAAAGTTACTACGGAAAATGTTCAAGTTTTAAGGATGATCACTGCTACCATCAGCAGTAGCTATCTAAAAGAAAGCTAGCCATCATCAAAAGTCAAGACAAAAGTTAGCAGTAAAATAAAAATGGCTATCAAAACTACATATGAAACCATTTATCTCCTGCTAATAACTAGCTAATATTAATATTTGTTGCACAGCACATGGGGATGAAGTGGTTCTTTTTCAGTGCTGCGGATTGAACTCAAGGCCTTGTGCATGCTAGGCAAAGAGCTGGAATCTTGAATCTCATAAATTTACATGGTGGATAGACAAACATACCCAGTAGTGTTAATTTCTCTTGGCTTTTCCTTGGCTTAGTAGAAATACTCTCTCCTAAACTAGCTGAAATATGTGGTGGTCAGTTGTGTATATTAAAACAGAACTCTGACTGGCTCCCTTCTTCCCTGCTCTCAGAAATGGTCTTTTTTGTTGTTGTTGTTTGTTTGTTTTGTTTTGCTTTGTTTTATGGTATGGGGATTTAAGCTACACTTTGAGCCACTCCACCAGCCCTTTTTCCGTGACGGGCTTTTTGGAGACAGGCTTTCTCAAACTATTTGCCCGGACTGGCTTCAAACCACAATCCTCCTGATCTCTATCTCCTGAGTAGCTAGGATTACAGGTGTGAGCCACCGGTGCCCAGCTTCTCTGAAGTTTTTTTTTTAACCACCTTCCCAATATGAAGAAGAACATGGTAAGCTTTGGAAAGTATACCATTTTTCCCCAAAAGACTTCTTTATAGCATTTAAAGTACGTAGTTAGTACATGGTAATTATAAAAGCTGAGAGAGTTGGTTTTTTACTTTGGTGAATGTTGGTTATACTTTTTTTTCTTTTTTTTTTTTTTTGTGGTACAGGGGATTGGACCCAGGTCTCACACATGCTAGGCAAGTGTTCTACCACTTGAGCTTACCCTCAAATGTTGATATGGCTAAGGTTGTTAAACTTCAAGAGAGGACCAGGGATATAGCTCAGTAATAGAGCACTTGCTTAGCATTCACAAGGTCCTGGGTTCCATCCCCTACACAAAACAAGACAAAACAAAACAAAAAAAACATGCAGACAAAAAGCCTTCAAGAGGGATAGTGTCAATGGAAGTTGAATCTTTCCCTAGTTTGACCTGGAAAATATCTTTACACTCTGCTAGTTCATAACATTTCTCTATTATTATTGGGTTTTTTTTTTTGGCAGTGCTGGAGTTTGAACTCAGGGCCTCATGCTTGCTAGGCAGGCACTCTTACTGGTTGAGCCACTCCACCAACCTCAACATTTCTCTTTTTTAAAAAATGTTGCCAAAGCCTGTTTGTAGTAGACTTGTCATTCCCATGGTATTTGTAACATTTCCTATGAGGCTCAAGTCAGGCCATGTCAGGCTGAGTTTAAATACACTGTGCTAGTTTAACATGTCTTTTGGATGCCAAACCACTAGCAGAGACTAGAGAGCCACTTCAGAAGTGTTTTGGGGGACAATGAATTTAATACTTTTTCAAGCATGGGGCTTGCATTTACCTCGGGTCACCACAACAAGACAGATATATATTGAAAGTGACAGATAAAGAAGTCCTCTGCTCAGACCTTGTATGAAAGGTGACTCAAGATAAACAGGGTTACTTACACTTAGGAGATAGCCTAAGGGCTGATGGAGTGGCTCAAGTGGTAGAACACTTGGCTAGCAAGAGAGACCCTGAGTTCAAACCGCAGTACTGCAAAGAGATAGCCTAAGATGAAACTCACTGATGTGACTGAAAACTTTCTATGGATGGGACCAGAAAATTGTTAGAAACAGAGATATAGGGAAAAGGCTACTGAGTCCTGTTTAACAAATCAATTTGCTCATTGATCCTGAGAGCTACCCTAGGAGTTGGAGGCTAAAAACTTTACACTAGGTGCTGGCAACTTGGACCAGAAGTACAAACAAATGTCTTCTCACCACCTAGAGTTATGACTTGGGTAGCAAAAGTCAGAGGAAAAGATATTTCTAATGGAATCACTTAGAATATAACAGCAGAGATTTTATCTTTGACGTTCCCCTAATATCTAGAAGCATTCCTGGCACATGAATATTTGTTGAATGAATGAAATTTAAGGACTTCTCTAATGACCAATGAAATGTGGCTAGTTCAAATTGAGTTGTACTTGAGTGAAAAATATATTATTGATTTTAAGGATTTAGTAAAACACAAGAATGTAAAATATTTAATTGATTTTTATATAAATTATACATTAAAATGATAATATCTGGATATGTTATGTTAAATAATATACATTTACCTGTTTCTTACTACTTTTTTATGTTGGTTCTAGAAAACGTAGAACTATATTGTTGAATCATATTAATTACATTTCTGTTGGACAGCATTAATTTAAAAAACGTGTTTCACTGCCTCTGCTATATTAGGTTTTTTTTTTCCCTTTTATTTATATGTGCATACAATGTTTGGGTCATTTCTCCCCCCTTCTCCCCGCCCCCTCCGTCTCTCCCCCATATTAGGTTTTGTTTTGACATAAATTATTTCATATTAAACAGCTACTAATGACAATATTACTAACTCAATTAAGAAAGACTATAGGAAAGTAAGCCATGTACTTCTGTACCTTGGCACATCATCAAGAATTTTCATGCTAAGTAAAGTCCAAAGGACACTTGTCTAGCTAGTTTAAAAAAGTTAAAAAAAAAGCTATGAATTTTAGAATTGTCCTAAAGTAATGTATTTTTATATTCATCTAAAACATTACCTCAGATGTATGAGGTAGCGTAATAACCGTTCTTCTGTGTGTCGGATGTTTTCTTTATTAACACTTCTCTTCATTTCTTGTTTAACAGGTACAGAAAAAGTTCTTTGTCGTAGGAATGTCTGATGATTGGCTGGCATATCTCGTAAGTCATATATCACAACAAACATCTTCACCACAGTCTTATTAGGATTAAATAAGGTCTGGAGAAACAATACAGAAATTATTCTTTAAAAACAGTGATTTGTTGATGTGACTCAGAATGATTGTACCAATAATTAACTAAATAATTTAATCCCACTGGACATAATTCAGTTTTAGGGACTATAATTAATAAGATTTTGAAATACATTAATAACATTCAATATTCTTTCAAAAGTTCAACTTAATTTCTTACTTTATAATACAAAATCCTGTAATAAATCAAAACCTTTAGTCACAAATTATATATTAATAACAAACAATATATAACTTTTCTTCTTGTTCAGATATTCAGAATAGTCCCTATAGCTTAAGCAAAACACAACCTTACTGGGTTTAAAATATTCTCGGTCAATTATTTCAAGCACTCACTTCATTGAAGACGGTCAACAACAAAATTCTGTTTTATTTTTCTCACATTTTTAATGGTGAGCAATAGAATTAAAAAGAAAAAAAGCTCTGCCAAACTAGAATTTTTGATGTTTTAGGTACACATAGTTATTGTACAATCACTTATAAGTGTTTAGAGAAGAGACTTTCCTATTTGAAAATGTTTTCAAATTTAGAAAATAAAGCTCATATTATCAGAGATACAAAGTAGGCTAAATAATACCTTCTGTGCTCATATTTGGAATTATTTCAAAATATGCTGCAATACTAGGAATTAAAAAAACAAAACAAAACAAAACAGTATCATTATAGGCCAAAATATGTATCCTTCCTCAAGACTGAAGTGAATTCAATTGCCACTTGACTATGAATAATTGAAGGAATGTTACTTTAAAAAAATACTAATTTTTAAACAAAACCCCGTACTACTGATCTGACTTGAACCAAATTACCAACACATCAATAGGTAACTTGGTGCCCATGCTTTCAGGAGCTCATCCGTGCCAGTGGACGTCACTCACTGAATCAAAATGAGAAATATATCAATATTAAGGTCCAAATTCTGCAACCACAACAACTAGCAAGCCAGGAGTTCAAACTGTGATTATGAATAATTACACCATGTCATGAGTAAAAGACATACCCAAAATTCACATTTAAAATTAACCACTAAGGCTGGCAGTCTACAGCGAGAGGTGAATGTGCTGTCTCTGGATGCGTGCCTCTTTGTATGACAACTGACTGCTACCCTTCCATGACCCATGCTGCCCCGTGAGCCACACAGTCAGGGGCAAGAGAAGATCATTACTCCTTTACTGCAAGAAATCCTTTTGACATAAAAATTGTACTTTAGATGGAGTGACTCGTCAGTAAACATGTACATTTTGCTCAGAACTATGTTTTATTCCTGTGAGATCGGAAATAAATGAATATCCAGGCTCTGTGCAGTACTGGAACAATGGTGATAAGCAAAAGGGGTATGACGAAGCACTGAACACACTGAGGCTGATGGCTCTCAGCAGCTTTGTTGGACAAGACCAGATCCTGAGTGGCAGGAAGTAGCCTTAGCTAGAGTCTCTCAGTCTGCAAACAACTCTGTAACAGATTTGAGGACTTGCAGGATTATCCTGGATCACTGTGGAGATGAACTCAATTGCAAACTAGCCTAGATGCCAGATTATGCTTCTGAGAACCCTAGACCAGAAATAACAAAGGACTGGTCTGGACCAGAGGGTTCTCCTGAGATAAGACCCGATCAATACCCAGACTAAAGGAATGATGCTCTGTCCTGACATCTATCAGATTAATATTTCTACTTGGTGCGTTCATTTCATTAGACCAATTTAGAAGTCACTGCATCATTAGGTATAATATCATGTAGTTTTCCTGCCAAAAAAATAGTAATGTTTGGGGGGGGGTCTCATTTTAAATAGGTCAACATCAATATGGCTTATATTGAAAAGAAGGCACTGGTAATGTTAGTGCCTATAATTTTCAAATTATATTGAAAATAACTATTTAAGTTAAGCAAATGGTCATGTACTATTTTTCTAAAGCATTCACCTCAAAGAGCTATTAATGTTTTCCTTTTATGGAGGTCCCCAAGTAGTCATTCCTGGGGCAGAGTGGGGAAACTCCAAACAAAGCTGCAGCCCCACGGTTACTTACCAAAGTCGTTGCAGCAGCAGGAGCAGGAGAAAGGGCTAAGTTCTATATGTGTGTGAGAGAATGATTATTGCAATTGTAGGCTAGAAAACACATACCACTTGTATTGTTCCTGAAGGAGGTACTCGATAACCCCTTTTACCAAGGGACTCTAAAGTAATCACACCCTTGAAATAAAAGAAGACAAATTGAGTACATATGTAATAAAAGGCTAAAATAAGAATCATACATCATGTAATTACTAAAATTCCAAAATTCTATTTCTATGGAAAAATATTCAAATTGCATTCGTAGAGATACACTCTGAGACTATGAAATAGGGAGGTTTCCAGCCCTAAAGAAACAATTTACTGTCCTTCTTGATCATGTTGCAATAAGTAACATGAAACATATATGGCCACACTCTTGGAAATTTCCATTGAGATACAAGATATAAAGGTAAGATGTTTCCTAATCAAAAATGAAATACAGCAAAGTTATAGGATTATTCCTACTAATTTAGGGAATATAGGAAATAAAGAAGCAAAACAACTTATTGGTCTCTGGGTCTGTAAAAAGTAAGGAGTGTATAGAAGGATATAAGTTTTGGCCTAAAAATGAAGGAATTCTTCAGTCAGGGAATTAAGTTACATATCTGAATTTCTGACCTAGACAAAAAATTTAGAAAGTAAAATTTCAAATTTAAAGAAAAGTCATGTGGGAGTTTGTGGTTCCTGTCTGATAACTTACAGAAAAAATGTTCAAGGCAAAAAGTAGAAATGAAGCTTTAATCAGCCAACTTCTAAGACTGTGGTTTGTTCTATATAAAAGCCATAAAATTCTATTTTGCAAGGACTAAATGTTTCTTCAGAAATAACCTCATATTACATGTTGTATCTTAATCTGGATCTTCTTCAGGTACTGCTTTGTAGTCATTTAATTATTGAAGAACCTAAGAATCCAAATTGATTTTAAATCAGAACACAGTAATTAAAGGTCTAGAAGCTAAGCTAAATTGGAGTCATCTCATTAGAGAAGTCTAGAAGGCAATATGAGAAGTCCTCTAGCAGCCTGGTTCTCGGAGAATGGTCCTCAGGCCAGCAGCTCAGCATCACAGGTGAGCTCATTAGGAATGCAGAATCCCTGGGTTTACCCAGATCTACCAAATCTAATCTGCATTTTAATAAGACTCTCCAGATGAATCATATGTAGATTAAAATTTGAGAAAACTTTAAAGCATGTCGAGTAGTTTTTCTGAGATGTCCAAACAATTTGGAAAAGAGAGTAAGTTTAAGTGAGGTAAGTTAAAGCTTCTCAATAACCAGGATGACTGAATGACTGTGGTTACCACAACTGTGATAATTCATTCTGAGGCAGCTTTGAATAATGAATGCTGATTTTACTTATTTTAACAGAGGTAATGCTTTTCTTTCAAGCAGTTAAGGTAATTCAGTGGAATAATTGCATGTTTTACACATTTCATGATTCCATCATTATACGCCATACATGACAACCTTGTGTAAATATGAAATAGCACTACCCCATTAGGTGACATCTCTGTTGGGTTCAGAAGTTAGAAAGTGTGGGAGGTAAAGAGAGTGGACAAAAGCAGATGGAGGGCGAGGCTCTGACGTACAAATGCCTCAACTCCAAGTACCCTGCATTTGACATCACACAGTTAAATAACAGACATTGGGAAATGCTCACAGACATGGGCACTGAAATCACATACAGGGTTTTTGACAAATCCAATTCATCGCATGGTCATTTAAAGTATGAAAACAGCAATCAACAAATTGAATCCTCAACTAAAACAGCATGAAGCATCCACAACCCCTCTCACATCTGCTGTATGTGTCGAGGGTGGTGCTATGCATACCACTTCTTACATATGAGTGGAGTGTGGATATTTATGTAAAAATAGGATGGTATGTAATACTCTTCTCCCAAGTTCCAGAAGGAAAAAGTAAAATATACCCAAATAATAGCTACTTTTATGACCTTATTGCTACAGGCAATGCATTACTGTTCTTCCCATCACCCTTTCACTCAAAAATACAGATGGAAAACCAGTAAGGCGAAAATTACTACCATGGCACCATGACTATTTCCTTTAATACACACAATTCTGATGGTTTTTTAGAAAGCAGTAAGTAAATCAATTTATAAAGAAAAACTAAAGGTTTTTTTGGGGGGGGCGGGGGACAATACGGGGGTTTGAACTCAGGGCTTCCCACTTGCTAGGCAGGCGCTGTACCCTGCTTGAGCCACACCTCCAGCCCTTTTTGCTATAGTTATTTTGAAGATAGGGTCTCATGTTTTGCCCAGGCTGGCCTGGACTGTGATCCTCCTCTTTTAAACTTTCTGCCATTTCTGGGATGACAGGCATGCATCTACACGCCCAGCTTTTTTCTGTTGAGATTGGGCAGTGTGTGTTGGGGGGGGCACTCATAAACGTTTTTGCCAAGACTGTCCTAGAACCACAGTCCTCCCAATCTCAGCCTCCCAAGCAGCTAGAATTATTAGCATGAATCGCTGGTACTGGACTAAGACTATAGATTTTTGAAATTTTTTTCCCAGTGGTACTGGAGGGTGAACTCAGGGTGTCATGCTTGCTAGGCAGGTGCTCTATCCCTTGAACCACAGCCCCAGCTCTTTTTGCTTCAGTTTTTTTTTTTTAATAGAGTCTTAAATTTTTGTGTAAGCCAACCTGGACTCCTAATTATGCTTCCTGTGGAGCTGGAATGACAGGTAGTGCATCACCACCCCAGTTACTGGTTGAAATGTGGTCTCACTAACTTTTTGCATAGCTGGCCTCAAACCTCTATCCTCCTTATCTCTGCCTACTGAGTAGTTGGGATTACAGATGTGAGCTATCATGCCTGGCCCAAAAAAATCTTTTAACTTTAGGCTACACTTTAAAACAACTATTTCTAAATAATGTAAGACTAGTAGTAGCATTATCAATAGAAAGAGACTGCAAAATTATCTGGCATTTTATTAATATTATTAGCTTTATTATTATTTTGTTGTTTGGTGGTACTGAGGGTTGAACTCAGGGCCTTAAGCTTGCTACCACCTGAGCCATGCCCACAGCCCTTTTTGCTCTGGTTATGTTTGAGATAGGGCCTTGCTTTATGCATGGGCTGCCCTGGACATGATTCTTTTATTTATGCTTCCCTGTGTAACTGGATGTCAAAGATGCAACACTATGCCCAGCCATTGATGATACGGGGTTTTGTGAACTATATTCTCAGGCTGGCCTCAAACATGATCCTCCTGATCTCTGCCTTCCAATTTGCCAGGATTACAGATGTCAGCTACCATGCCTGGCCTATTATTATTATTATTATTATTATTTTTACTAATTTCATTAATGCAATTGACTAACATATTAATATTTATAGTTAGAGAAACTTACCATATTTAATACAAACAAAAATATTTCTTTTGGCATTTTAAGATCAAATAGTAAGGTGAAGATAAACTAATTTTAATCAAAATCTTACACAAAAATTTCTCAAATTATTGTGAAATAGAGACTATGTAACAACAAGTGGAAATGGAAAGAAGTATGCCTTGGTTGGTTGGCTACGACTACCAGGAAGTTATGCATGGCTCTGGCAATGCAATCATATGCAGGTCATACCTGAATTTGCCACTGGCACACCTGCTTTAGATATTTGTCTGGTTTCACGACAAGATAATTTTGAAAAAGCTAAGTGTAGTCATATAACTCTTGGAGGACATTTTTACCACCAATTCCAAATTAGAGAGTGGTATTGTGTGCCTTTGAGTTAATCTTTAAGGAATTATTTTAATGGAAAGTTCTGTACCACCTCTATACCACAAAGACAGAATTTTCTGTGCTACAGGTTTACCTTCGTGAGTAATTTGTGCAATTCATGATGAGAGGTTGCAAAGTTACTAGAGCAACAAATAGAATACTGTGTCTCAGTTCTGCTATTCTGTGATATGTATTATCTTAAAAAACACAATCCATCCTTCGAAAGAAGACTAAGCTATCAAAATGGGTATGATATCCTGCCTGGGAGCAGCGGCTCATGCCTATAATCCGAACTACTCGGGAGGCAAAGGTCAGAAGGCCTGAAGTTTGAGGTCAATTTGGGCAAAATGTTAGTGAGACCTCCCCCCAATATTACCAAATAAGCCAGACATGGTGATACACTCCTGTAATCACAGCCATGTAGGAGGCATAGGTAGGAGGATCATGATTCCATGCTGGTCTGGGCAAAAAGCAAGACTTTAAAAAATAATCTAAAAAGCAAAATGGGCTGCAGTTGTGGCTCAAGTAGTAGAGTGCTTGCCTAACAAGCACAAGGCTCCGAATACAAACCTTATTACTGAAAAAAAAATTCCCTGAAGAACAAATTTAATTTCACTATTTACAGTAGGAAAGATCTGTAGTCTAAAATTTGGACTGGGTCACTTACAGAGGGAAGGCATTCCTAATAAGTAAACTGACTTAGGGAAAAAATATACTAGATAGTTGCTTTAAGGGATTCTTAAAAGGATAAATTAACTCAAGTGACCTGACTTATACCCTTTCCAGTATCTATTCAAAATCTTTGATTGATTGTACTTCTATGCTTCTGGAGACAATGACAAAAGTCTTCTATCTCCTAGTCTGTCCATCAGTTTTTAAATATAAAACACAGGCAAAGATTAATGTTATTTTATATTATTATTATAATTATTATATTATTTTGGTTGTCTTGGGGATTGAACTCAGGCCTTCTTGCTAGGCATGACAACCAAATATAACCTGACAAAAGGTATTTCACAGCTTTTATCAGTAACAAAGGACATTGTTACTAATATTCTACCTTGAAGGAAGAGGAAAGGAAGTAACTGGGCCAGGTGGTAAGCTGGGAAATTCAAATGACAAGACTATCCCAGGGCCACAGTAATTTATATTTCTTAAAATAAAACTCACTGTGAGCTGGGTGCTGGTGGTTCATGCCTATAATCCTAGCTACTCAGGAGGCAGAGATTAGGAGGATAGTGGTCTGAAGCCACCCCAGGCAAACAGTTTGAGAGACCCTTTCTCAAAAATATCTAACACAAAAAGGGCTGATGCACTGACAAAAAGGTGGAGGACCTGATTTCAAGCCCTGGTACTGCAAAAAAAAAAAAAAAAAGGACAATGTGAAAACCCCTGTGACTCCATACTTGATACCATCATTGCAAACTTCTCACAGACTCCATTGCTGGCCACTTCTCCTTTGCAGATTGGAAAGGAGCTGATACACATCAGGATTTGGAGTCATTTTTGCAGTTGAAGGCTTAAGACAGTTTCTCTAATTCCCCTTACTGCTCTCACTCCCCACTAAAACTTTAATATGCCATAGTTTGTACTCTCTAGAACCCTAGGAGCAGAAAAGAACAGACCAGAGACAAAGCAAACAAGAGAAAGGGGAGTGAAAGGGCCTCACAGAAGCCTCAGGTCGACAGATCCTTACCTGAGCTCTTCTGAGATGAGGTCCACGTGGGATGGCAACCCTTGTGGAACCAGAGTGCCAGGGAAGCACTTGAGTGTGCATGAAAATACAAGATGGAATTATAGTGTCTCTATTCAGTAAATCACATAGAAATGAGGAAATTCTTGGCACCATTCTCAAATGCAAAAGAGATTACTGTTGTTTAAGCTAGTTTACAAGAAGTTGTGAGGTAATATTTTGGTTTATTAGTCTGTATTCAGCCTTTAATTTTCTCTTAGGAAATTCTTTATAGTTTTGAGTACTGGACTAAAACAAAGATATGTGTCATGAAATTGGTTGATTCTGGCAGAAAAAGGCAATTAAAAAATACTTGCCATATAAGGAGAGGGAGCGTTGTCATCTGAAACACTATAGAATGACACTTCAACTGGAAGAGTCAAATGTGTGGGGCAGAAAATGCCACTTGCTCCTACCTCGGCCGTGAAACCATCAACTATGCCGAGAGGATCTAAACGATAATTCAAAACAGATTCCTGGAAGACAAAACAAAGGAATTCACTTTTTGAAAAACAGAAAAGTTAACTCATTAACTTCATGGTCTGTGTAAAGAAATATATCACTGCATTTTCTAGTTACAGCTGGGCATGGTGGTACACACCTATAATCCCAACACTGGAGAGGCGGAGGCAGTAGGGTCACATGTTCAAAGCCAGCCTGGGCAACATAGTGACTTTAAGGCCATCTTGGGCTACACAGCAAGACCCTCTCTCTACAAGTATGTGTGTGTTGGGCGAGGGGAGGATTGGTGCTGGGAACTTGGGCAGAGTACCCACCTAGTAAGTGTGAGGCCCTGCATGCAAACCCCAGTACTGCAATAAATAAATAAGTAAATAAACTGACCGTTACCAGTTCCATGCTCTTCATCTGACTTGAAGTCATCTCTACCTCCCATCAATCTTTTCCTGCTCACCATTCCAGCCCATATTGAACTCTCCTGGAACTTTACCACTAGTTATACCTAATTGTTTAATATCTATTTTTATATCTGTAGGTGAAAAAAGAAGTTTGACCAGAGAAAATCTCATTCCTCATAGTGCCTATTCATTCAGTGCCAGGTGTAGAGAATCACTCAAGAACTTAACAGGTCACATACAGAAAATTCTATTCAAAGATGAAGTCACACACCTCCTATCTTAATTGACAAATGACTGCTTCTTATTTTTTTTTTAAAAAAAGCTACTATACAGCCAGTGTAGTGGCACATACCTATAATCCCAGCACACAGGAGGCTGAAGGAGGTGGATCTTGAATTTGAGGCTAGCCTGGGCTACAAAGTGAGAGCCTGTCTCAAAAAAACAAAACAAAAAAATCTGTTGTATATTACATGTGTTTTATTGTTTAGCTAAATAGAAAAATAGTAAATGTACACTAGAAACTTTATTTCATTTTATCGTTTGTTTATTGAATGATTGATTGATTTCTTTTTAATGGCAGAGTGTTGCTATGAAGCCCAGGCTGGCCTCCAACTTAAAATCCTCCTCCTCAGCTGGGATTACAGGCATAGACCACCACACCTGGCAGTTAAATTAATCTTTAATTGAAGACAGCTAAATCCATGATACTTGATCCCAAGTAGAAACAGTCATATTAAACAAAGAAATACATGTATCAGGGATCTTTAGCCACTTGATTTTAAAACAAAACAATCCTTTTATTTTAGAATAGATCTAGATTTATACAGAACTGACAAAGAAAGTGTAGAAAACCACCTGATTTTTCAAATCAATCTCCTTGATCACAAAGGGGCTGCTATTAGACCACCATCAGGTTTCATCTACTTTTAGTTCTCCTGGTTCCCAGAGTCCTTTTTTTTGAGATGAGATCTCACTGTGCTGCCTAGGCTGGTCTTAAGTGACTTGCCTCAGCCTTCCCCTGAGTAGGTGGGACTATAGGCACATGCCACCATATGTGGCTACCAGAGCCAATTTTCCCAGATAAAATGTGGCCAAGTCACTCATCTTGGCTAAAGTAACAGAAGCTCCATCCAGCCTGAATTCTCCAGAGCCCTACATCTCCTTATCCTAAGAGGTCACTGCCAACAATTCTCCCACAAAACAAAAGAGCACTCCAAGGCTTTGGAAAAGACATTACCTTCTCATAAAGAAAGCACCCAGTTTAAGAAACTTTAAAGTCTTAAAATAGTTTCAAAACACGTTACCTCAAAATTTCCTAGGAGACTAAGACTTGTTATAGGCGGAGCACTACAACTCAAGAATGGTTTTCCATGAATATCTGAATCATCCTCAGTGTTTAAACATGGTCGAGGACTATTAAAACACAAACCAGCAAAAGAACACATTACCAACAACATTTGCTCAATTACTTTTGTCTAAAATTAAATTAGGGGAATTTGAATACTTTCAACTGCCATAATAAAAAGCATTTATTAACAAGTGGCTCAAGCACTTGCCTAGCCAGCACAAGGCCCTGAGTTCAAACCCCAGAAAAAATATGTCTAGTTAGGTTTTATATTTGTTATATTTGATAAAGAATATAACATCTTAAAGGTTTCAAGGTGGAAATTATAACACATCTTACAGTCGTAGTTACTGGAAATGTACAATAATGGAGACTTGTCAATCATTTTCAGCTAAAAATAAGAATACAAAGGCAAAATTATGTGGCCAAAGAGTGTGATCAGAAGACCTGGATTGGCTCAGAGGGAGGGAGAACACTTGCTTAGCACACGGCAGGCTCTGGGTTAGAATAAGAGTTTTATTTGCCAACATGGAAAAAACTACCAAGGCTTCTTTGTAAAAGAATAAAAGGTTGGTTAACTACCAGAAATGTACAAATCTACTTAAATATTAAAAGCAATTGTTATTTATTATGATGACCAATACACAGTGTGGCTTACTGTCTCAATCACATCCTTACTTATTCTTAGGGCTGTGTGAGTAGTATCATACTGAAAATAAGATTCCTATTGCAATTTTGATTTTTAGGGCTAACATACTTATTGTGAAAGACAAGAATTTTGTGTAATAGTTTCATAAACACAGATAAATTTTAAGATAAATACCTTCTAGATGATAAGCTTTTCAGATGCAGCAATGAAGAATCCAGATCAAAGCAACCTGATTGTGTTTTCCTTTGAGGAACCTAAGGTCAAAATAATCACATATTAAATGTAAGCATATTTTTAAAACCATAAAATTTCTCTCATAACAGCTTACTTCAAATAATGCTGTTTATTACTTATTTTTCTCATATTGTCATTTTATTAACTAATATGGAAAAACAGATGACTTATAAAAACATTTTTTACTAGGTTTCAGGTTTTTAAGAGTGAAACTAGTTTTTCCTAAAACTAAACCTTATATGGAGTCCCAATATGTATGTAAGGTAAATAGGACTTTTACTTTTTTTTTTTTTTTTTACTTTATGTGCTTCTATACTTTTTTTGGGGGGGTAGTGGAATATTTATAGCTTTAAAGTAAAAGAGGAACAAAGTATTAAATAGAGATAGGAGCCTGGGGGACTGCCATCTCAGCCTCTCTTTGCCCAACCTTATGGCTCTACAGAGAATATTCTGGATTTTTAGACACCATTGTATGTCAAATTACATTTAAGACAAATCACTACCTAATTCAAAATATTCTAAAACTAAAACACCAAATGTAAAGTATAGGTAAAATCATATACAATACAAACATTATATAGATTTGTTTCTAGAATTAATATTAGATATGTGTAAAATATCTGACTCAGTGGTGTAGTGGTGACTAAGAAGAAACATGATACTGAAAAGTCCAGACAGTAGCATTTTTGAGAGTGTCCAAGTGGACCATGTCATTTGCTATAGTCAGAACTTAACTGCAAGATTTTCAATCTAAACTCTCATGTCGTCAATTCTGCAAAGTTCTTCATCTTCATTTCTTCTAATACTGTATTTTCTTCAAAATGTTTTAGAACTTCTACTAGACTTAAATGGACCATTTCACTTTTTCTTCTTCATGGTTCTTTCATATTTCACCTTTTATTTTTAAACCTTTCTATAGCCAGTCACTGGTGGCTCATGCCTGTAATCCTAGTACTCAGGAGGCAGAGATCAGGAGGGTCGCAGTTTGAAGCCAGTCCAGGCAAACGGTTTGTGAGACCCTATCTCAAAAAACCCATTAAAAAAAAAAATAGGGCTGGTGGAGTAGCTCAAGGTGTAGGCCCTGAGTTCAAGCCCCAATACCACAAAAAAAAAAAAAAAAAGTAAGAAAAATCTGCCTACTCGTTTACTAAACAGAATTTCTATTTGGCTCTTTTTCAAATCCACATATTTTTATTTTTGTTTTGTTGTTCTTTTGAGACAGTCTTGTCATGTAGTGCAGGTTGGCCTTGAACTTGCAATCCTCTTGCCTCAGCCTCTGAGTGCTGGGATTATAAATAGGTTTATGTCACCATGCCCGGCTTGTTCTTTCATCTTAATTCCATTTTTGCCTGCATTTTGCTCTTAGAAATATTTTTTTTTTTCGAGGTACTGGGAACTGAATTTAGGGCTTTGTGTTCCAGTCCTTTTGCTGGTTTAGTTTTCTTTTCAGACAGGGTCTCGTGTTTTTGCCCTGGTTGGCCTTGCATTGCGATCCTCCTACCTTTGCATCCCAGGTACAGGATGGGATTATAGGCATGAAACACAACACCAGGCTTGCTCTTAGGACACTTTAAAAAGAATTATTTTTAAAACTCCTTTTCAGGTTGCTTTGATAGCAGGGTTCCTATGTGTAAAGTCTCATATTTCTTGTTTCTGCTGATTCTTTAAAGGTGCATCTTAATTTTTTCTCTTTGATCATCTTCAATAAGAGGCAATTAAATAAATCCTTGGTGCCCTGGGTTATAATATGCAATGGTTTCTTGTTTCCTCCATTGGCACAATGGAATTCATGGGTCAACTTTAGTTTTCAGGGGTGTTTCTTAGTAGAAGTCTCTGCACCTCATAAGTAGCATAAATTCAGAATCCCTCCCACAAATGGCTTAGGTTTAGGTCTAATTTCATTTAAGGACTTCTTTTCCCCACCTATTTTATGCTTTCCTGATTCAGCTTAGAGTGAACAGGTAGATTTTTGTTTCTTCTGGCTTTAAGAAGACTTTAGTTTGCTTGGTCCCAAGTATGATTGGTGCAAACTTGTAGTCTTGACCCACGAGGGCATTAAGCCTTATATTAAACTGGCTAGGATAACCTACAGGGTTATTATTTACTCCACAGTAGTACCTGAGAATTTCCTTTCTTATTCTTACACTATATTATGTACTTAGAAGTTGTTATATTTCACACAAGGTTAATAGGGATGTTGCACCAGCATGACGCTGACAACTTGTTTCCTGATCACCAGGGCATTTTGAAAGCACCTCATAGATAGGTCACATGTTTGGGGTTATTTTAATTGTTTAGAATTCAACTTCTCTAAAAAAAAAATTTTGAGCTCCAAGTATTAAATTTAAATTCTAGATTTCTTACTTCTTCAATGATTTTTGAACATAGGCCAGATACTATGTTTTCTGTTTACTAAAAGATACACACACAACAATAACTATTTTACATTAGTAGAAAAGTAAACAGGCTTTTAGTTCTACTCTGGTATTGGCAGTTATCTTGGGCTACTGAAACATTAAGCCACACTGACTAACTGTTGAGTGCTTACTATGCACAAAGGGATGCAAACCACCACTGTAGCACAGATGTGGGGATTCCCTTCTTGTTTACAGATGAGAAACTGAAGCTCTCCAGGACAGCTCACCTACTGTCAGAGTAGCGTGATGTGAGGGTGACTCTATAGCAATTTTTTCAACCACTGTGTGCAAATCTAAATCTATTTGTAAACACAGAGGAGGGGGATTCTCAAAATAAGAGAAAAATTAAATGCATAAATTCCAAGTCAAAGACAGAAAGATATGAAATCACTTCCCAGATGATCCCATTGGTGGATCATCTGTGGTGGAGCTCAGTGCTCACTGAGATACAAAACTTATATACAGAAAAACCCCTAGGATTAAGGTTGTTTGTTTTTACATTTAGTAACAATTGAAATGTTAGGCAAAAGAATTTCAGGGAAAAAGTTTAATTCTTATATAATAAATTTCATTTTTATTCATTTTTAGTCTTTTCCAAATTATCACTAACAAATGTGCTATCAAAAATTAAGGGTTTCCAACTAAAATTTTATTTCAGAGGCATTTAAATTTTTTCAGTTAAAATTTGAATGAAATTACTTGTAAACATTTTGGATGTTTGGAGGATTTCAGTGTAAGAGGGAAAAGAAAACAACACTCACAGGACTTGAAAGAAGAGGCAGCCCAGTCTGAGGATGAAAGGCTCTGGTTGAGGTTCCATCCAAGGAATGAAAAGTATGCTTTTGCCAGGCGCCTGAGTGCTTCAGTGTAGCCTGCTATTGGGAAAAGAACTAGACTGAGTGGTACTTAAACACCATTTGAACCACTGGCACAGCATTTTAATTTTTGGTGTCATTCCTGCTGTTGTCTGGGTATTATAGTCTTGATGGTGAAGCTGAGGATCTAACTGTATCTTATACACACACATATATTTTAATTTGAAAACAATGCCTAAGATTTTTTTGGTAATATGCTGAGTAAAATCAAATATTCTAAAATATACCCAGTTTGTTTACTCAGAATCTACTAAGCTAATATTTATTTTAATTTGTGACAAACAATTCACAGAAAATTAGTAGAATAATTAGCATAATATTCTAAAATATAAAATTACATCAATATCAAGAGCCATTTTTAGAAGATTTAATGGGCTTGTCATGATATGGAAATAAGAGAAATATTATAAACTAAATAAATAAATAAATATATATATATATATATATATATATATATCACAGTCACGTCATTATGTTTTTGCTGTGATTCAAGAAACAGGTGAACTGTGTACAGAGGCTCGTATCGCTTCTCCACCTTTGGGCTAAGACCAAGTGTGGAGGCTTGTGTTGTGAATTCAGCTCTTCCTCAGGAGGCTGAAGCAGGAAGATCATTGAAGCCCGGGGGTCTGAAGCCAGTCTGGGCAACAACAGTGAGACCAGGTCTCAAAAAATAAAAAAAAAAAAGCTAATTCTCAAAAATTGGGCAAATTTATATTAAAAAAATCAGAAATTAAGAAAAGTACATGAATAAAATGTATTAAAATGTATTAAAAATGTATTAAAGACTAATTTGACTAATTGGATCCTGGCATTTACTGGGTTTGTGACAATTACTCACCTTCTCTGGCTTATGGTTCTTACTTGTGAAATACAATTAGTAAAAACACTTAACCTCGTAAGATAGTAAGAGGATTAAGCAAGCCAATGTGCAGAAGAATACTTGAGCACGTAGCAAATGCTGCATGAATTTATTTAAAAGAAACATATGGAAAAACTAATCATAGTGTCTTGAAAAATACCATGGCCAGATGAACCCTCCCTATCAGGTGCCACAAAAGGTCATAAAAAGCTAATTAACTGTTTTTTTAAAATGGAGGTCTCACTGTGTTGCCCAGACTGACCTCAAACTCACAATCCTTCTGCCTCAGCCTTATAGGAAGCTGAGATTACAGATGTATGCAACCACGCCCAGAAAAAAAGCTAATATTTGTAAAGCCAAGAAGGTTTTTGTGATAATCATAATTTTGGGGAATATCTTTTTTTTAACTAATACATTAAAGGGGCTGGTGGAGTGGCTCAAGTGGAAGAGTGCCTGCCTAGCAAGCATGAGCCCTAAGTTCAAACCGCAGTGCCACAAAAAAGACTTTTTAATACATTAATATTTAAATAATACATGAAATATTTAAAAATATTTCAAAATTTATTATTTCATCATCATAACTATGAGACAGGCAGAGTTAACATTCTTATTATAAAATTGAGAGTGAGGTTTTTATTTCGTATTTATACATTTATTTATTTATTTATTCTTTTGCAGTACTGAGGATTCAACACAGGGCCTTGAAAGCACTCTACCATTTGAACTATGGCCACAGTCATTTTCACTGGAGACAGGGTCTTACTAACTTTGCCCAGGCTGGCCTCAAGCTCATTATCTTACTACCTCTACCTCCCAAGTAGCTAGGATTACAGATGAATGCAACCATACCCAGCTTTGAGACTGGGGTTTTCAGGAGGTATATAACTTATTGTATGTAACTCAAGCCCAAACTGGAAGTAGTGGCTTTGACTAATGGTTTTATAATTCTCCTACAGATAAGCCTAAATCATCAATTGTGTAATGCATAACACAATGGGTAAACCATTTATACTAGGTCAGAGCTGCTGACAAAAAAGCGCCTTAAGCTAACAAGAGTTTCTTTCTGACTCCTATTTATTTTCTGTCAGTGGTTCCTAAGCACTGAGATGAACAACAAAAAAGGCAACAGGAAGAACTTGAATCAAGCAAGTTTGCCAATTTGTCCTGGATTATCATAAGTTGGTAAGAGGAACCCTAGCTTACAAGTTGAGAGACTCCGCTAAGGGCAGGGGGTGCTTTCGCTCAACCACTAAACTTGTATGTAACTACTTGCACGTGAGTGATTCTGAGCCTCAGTTTTCTCCTATCTGTTCTACCTGTCCGTGGTGAAATACTAAAGAGAACAAAGTGCTCTATAATCATGTCATATAACTGAAAGCAATATACAAAGACCATAGAAAATCAAAGTATTTTATACATATTAAATAGTGCTCATTCTCCTGAATCCACAGACTGAATATTAAAAACAGTGCTTTATAATAAAAAAAATAAGTAACAAACCTTTTAGATTGTAGGTAAGGATAAAGAACAAAGCTAAAAGATTGAAATAATAGGCCTTATAGATCATTTAAAAATTATCATAATAGCAGTTTTTTAATAAAAGGATTTTAAACTATATGATCTCCATTTTTTCTATCTACCCAGCACTTGCTCTTAAGAGAGTGGGTTATTTGCAAGGACACTAATAATTCTGGAGAAGGATTATTTTATCAGACTGTGTGTTCTATAAATAATGGATACCTTGGGTCGTTATCTTTTTTTTTTTTTTTTTTTTTTGGTAGCACCGGGGTTGGAACTCAGGGCCTCAAGCTTGATAGGCAGATGTTCCAACACTTGAGCCACTCCACCATTCCCACCCATGGGTCTTTATAACTAGATCTTCTGTGAACAAAATTCAAACTATTAACAAGCAGCTGAGAATTATATTTGAAATATTATGTTACCTACCAACACTTCTGTATTTTTCAGTCGTTCACATGTAGACAAACAGTCTTTTATATTTTTCCTTTGAGAACAGTTTTGAGATTTTTCATCAGTTGAATCTTCTTTCTTATCCTGCTCATTTTTTAATTGGTCTGACTTTTTGCATTTGAAACCTTCACTATCTTTATTGAGATAATTTTCTATGCTATTAAGTTTAGTATTTTGCTCACAAGTCTTCAGTCTTTTTGAGTCTTTATTTGAGCAGTTATTTTCATACTTGTTCAAATAGCCAGACATTTCTAACATAGTAACTTTTGATTTTGAGTCAAACTTTTTTGAATTCTCAAATTGGAGATTGTCAAAAGATGCTGGATCACAATTCTCATTTTTTATTATTTTTTCCTTGTATTTATTTGTGCAAGTCTGTTTGTCAATACTGTTGCAATTTGAATACTGTTTATCAGTTTCATTGCTAATTTCTTGCTCCTTAAATTTTGACTTGGAAAGTGTATTTTCTAATCTGCGTGTCCAGTCTAAGTCATCCTCACTGCAATGAGGCATATTTAAAGAAGTTAGTAAGCTAGTAGCTTTGTTCTGTGTTTCCTCATGTGTCCCTTGGATGAGTTCAGTAGGATTATTCTGACACTGACTTCTTATTTGAGGTTTCAAAGACTTTTCTTTACTAATGCATTTAGAAGAACTAAAAGACTTACTAGGTATTAAGTTTTTCCCATCACTGCTGTCTCCTAACAAGGAAAATCTTCCCTGAGAAGCAGAGACATCATCCTTATTTTTCTTCAGCAAATTTTTATCTACATATGAACTCCTGAGCACTTTAGAGGGAGCAGAAGGAGAGTCATGGGCGTTGAATACTGGCCGGGAGATAAGCGATGCTGTTGGGTCAATATGCTCCAAGTGCTGAGCGATTCTTGCAATGACATCTTGCCGCTCCTGGAGCAACGAGCCTATCAAAGGATTAGTCTCTCCAGCAGACTGACGAGAATAAAGTCCATTAGAAATCCAAGTTTCACTCTGAGGAGTTTCTGGTTTTCCCCTAATTTTCCCCTCATTGATGTCTTCTGAGGAAGTAAACTCTGGACTACCAAAAGAAACAGAGAATATGTCCTTACATTTTCTCCTATTTTCATTTTGGTAAAGTTTTGAATTAAGTGAAGTAGACTCTTGAGCACTGAATGGATGTCCTGAAACATGTGAAGTGCCTGGATCACAATGGATCAAATGCTGAGCAATTCTTGCAATAACTTCTTGTCGATCCTGAATTAAAGAGTCTATTAAAGGGTTAGTCTCACCAACTGACGGCCAGGAATTCTGGCGACTGCAGACACTGGAGTCAATCACTGAAAATGATTTTAAAGTTCTCACTGATGTGTCATGTGACTTTATATCGCTTATGCCACTGTAGCCCAGAATATTGGCTTGAGATGTCCCATAGTCAGACCTGCTGCCAGTGCCCGGACACAGTTTTACATTCTTGATGGCTGTAGTATACTCTGGAGTTGGGCCACTTTTTACATGTAACACACTTTCCGTCCAAGTTTGTTTGCTACACAGACGCTGAGAACTGTTTGGACTACATTGTCCGCCTTCATTAGAATCGCGGTGCTGATGCATTTTAAGTTCACGTTCTTGACTTCTTCTCTCATAAAGGCCAATGTTTGTGTGAATACTACAGGTCAAAACTGGATAATTCGATTGTCTGGGTAAGGACTGAACGCTGACTTTCAAGGCCACGTTGTGAGAAACGTTGGGAACAGGAAACACATGTTCGATAGGAGTCTGTGAAAAATTCCACTGCAGGTCCACATCAGCAGCACTGATTCTACAGCCAAACAGAAAAACACAGGGTCAGTGGATGGTAAAAGCTCTGTCTTTATCACTGTGCACCGTATAAGGGCACACAGCATCACCCACCTATCTGTGCTGGAGTTATCTCCACTGAGGCTTATCAGCTGCTCTGCCACTCATATCCTTCTGGTAAAGTCAGCCTAAGTGGCATGACAGATTATGCTTGGAAGAGATGAGGTTTCTTCTCAATGCCACCAGGCAACTTAAGCACTAAAGGTCAAAAGTAGGGTTGGGGCTGGTGGAGTGGCCCAAGTGGTACAGCGCATGACTAGCGAGTGTGAGTTCAAACCCCAGTACCACCAAAAAAAAAAAGAATAGAGCCAGGGATGTAGCTCAGTGGTAGAGTGCTTGCCTAGGCATGGCCCTGGGTTCGATCCTCAGCACCACAAAAATATATGAGTAACTATCTCTTTTTAAGAAAAGGTCAAGAACATCATAATTTAACAATACTTGTCAAAACAGAAAGAAAAAGGAGTTTGTATTTAGTAGTAAATAAATAGATTTAGCTAAGTTTATTGTGTAAGGTGATTAAGAGAAACTACTTTAAAGCCACCTGTCCAAAAATAAAATTAGTTGCCTGGCAGCTGGTATGTTTATTTATTGTTTATTTATGTGCACACACACACTTTTTTGATTCAGGCTCTCATTATGTTCCCCAGGTTGGTCTCAAACTCCTAGTCTCAAGGGAACTTCCTGCCTCAACTTTCTGAGTAGCTGGGACTACAAGCATGAAACACTACACCTAGCTATGTTTAAATTTTTAAAGATGCCAACACTTAAGACTATCACAGAAATTCAGAATCCCAGAAAATGTTTCCACCTTATAATGGGAGCACATTTCTTGGTTCTCTAAAATAAGTTTAAAAGTTCTCTGAATACAATTATATACCAAATTTAATCCAACAAGCAAAATTCATACTGATGCAACCTAAATTTCTATAACTTATTTTGAGAAAAACCTCATTAAATTTTATCTACTTGTGTTTAGAAATGAAGGAAATAAATATGCTATTAATATCATTCAGTATGCTAGACAGTGGGAATGTGGATTATTCCTTTTTAACCCTAGACATACCTGTAAAGAATGTTTCGTGGAATAGCACCATGAGAAACACTCAGCCAAGCACTTAACTGAGAGAAAAACACAAATGAGCGGATGGCCAACAAGAGCGTCTTCTCCTCAATGAACCGGTCACCATTCCTAAGAGAAGTAACAAGCGTAATCTAAATGTCACCAAGTACAAAATGAATATATCACGCCGGATATGTGCTTTCAAAAGCTGAAGTCACAACTAATTAGTGTATCAAATATCTTATTTTGCTATATAAATACAGGGATTAAAAGACACTACACAATATTAAAATAATTTGTGGGAAGTAATGGAAGACTTGATACACCAGGAACAACTTAAACTAAGTCCAACAACTTACTGTCGAGGCACTGGCTCTAGGGTCCATCTTTCCAACAGCAGTGCATCTTGCTTAATTGCGGGATCATTCAGATCCACTCCATCTGTGGTGAGTCCATCATCACTGTAGCAGCAGTCTGGCAGCAGCATCACTTCCACCATGATTGGAAGGTTGTTCTTCCATAGCAGTGTGACCTCAGACCTGGTTCGTTTGGCTTGGCGACACTTAGAGAAATGAATATAAACAGAATGTCTCAGTAACTCTCCTAACTTTGTATTTAAATTTGAAAACTTTAAAGTAGATATGTGTATGAGAAACAAGTCATCCATTGTAGAGCTGTGCTCAGACTTGGCTAGTTAGGATTTCTCAATAAATAACTCATTCATGCTAGTGAGCTCTAGAGTACCGGGTATTTATGATGTGAATTTCCTTGGGGAGGATACCTTTGCTCTATTTTGTGGGAAAAGAACTGCCATTCAAATGTCTGACAGGTCTCTGAGTTGGCCCCGCCTTGTCTACTTTGCTAATTTCATAGAAAACATTAATTATTATGACCAAAATATCAAAAACTCATTTTCATTTAACACTTAAAATAGGCAAGATTTTTTTTAAAGTTTAAAAACTTGAGAGATGGCCCAAACAATGTTTACACATACGAATAAATGTATAAACAATAAAAAAAAATAAAGTTAAAAAACTTGGCTACATTTGAGAAACATAATGGGGATAAAAAGTTTTAAAGCAAACTATAACCTACCTTCCAAAAATATTTTAACAATATTATTTTTTAAACATTAGCATAATGAAAATATATTCCCATTTTAACAAATAAATAAGAACACAAAATGGAAGAGCCAGAAACTCTGAAGTAAAGAAAATTAAATCACAGCAACAAAGACAGTCAGATTTAAAGTAGGAAAGGGCAGGTATGAAATTGGCTCCCCATCGCCTCAGTGATTAGTAAAGCTACCTTCCATGCCTTCAAGAGCCTACCAGCCAACCTTATATTTAAATGTGAAAATTATAACTGTGATATAACACAGGTGATGACAGAATTTAACTACTTTACATGAAAGACATAAAAAAGCATTGAAACCTATTTCTCACCTGGGCCAGCTTGTCACTGCATTCATGTTTGGTAGTTACAGGGTAACAGGACTGTGCCGGAGGGCAGTGGAAACTTTCTGTTCGACCTTTCACAGAGCATTCAGGTGTCCGCCCTTCTGTTATTAGCAAGGCCAGAGAGACCAAGAACTCCTCCGCATCATATTCAAAATACTCATCTAGGGTATCTGGTATATAAAAAAAAAAAGTTCTGCATTATATTTAAAATATTCATCACTTTAATGTACTCTTTTTTTTTCCAGTGCTGGGACTAGAACCCAGGACCTTGCATGTGCTAGGTAAGCCCTTTGTCAGTGAGTTATATTCCCAGCCCTAAAGTAAAGTACTCTTAATAAGAACTCAACTGGCTAGGTGTGGTTGTGCATGTTTGTAATCCCACCATTTGGGAGGCTGAGGCAGGAAGGTGAGCTTGATGCTAGCCTGAGCTACAGAATGAGACCCCATCTCAAAATAAATAAAAAATATTAAAATAAAAAGGAATTCATCTGTTATGCCTGAAATAACTAATGCCACATTCCACACTCAAGAATAGTCACTAGAAGAATGAAAATAAAATAAAAATGAGATAGCTTAAGTACAGTAAACCCTTGATTTACAAAATATACAAAATCATAAAGAAATGGATAATTGCATTTTGGTGTTGATGGGGATGCAACCCAGGGCCTCGGCACATGCTAGGCAAGGGCTTTACCACTGACCTACATCTCTACCCATGACAAACGGAGAAATACAAATTCCTGTTGAACAGAACTGGCACAAAATTTCTTTATCAAGACTTCAGTTAAACTAAAAATTTAGGAATACTTTTATCATCCTATAGTAAATTACATTTTTAAATGCCAGCCACAATAGTTTTTAAATACAAAATGTCACTAATAGCTAAAAGATTAAAATATCTTATATCATATTTTTAGTTAAGATGCTTTACTGCTATTGTTACATGTCAGAAAAAATGCAGATCCAACTGTGTTTCTCCCTTTTCTTCCCTTCTTTAACAAGTTCCTTGCTCTCACAGCACTATGCCTGTGGTGTGGACATTCACAGTGACAAGAGTTTCAGAGGGAGAAATGCTATAATTAGCAAAACAAGAGGCCTGTTTTGAAATATAAGGAGTTTAATATTTTGGCTATCAATGGCAATTTTTTCCCCCACTTCGTCATAGTAATTTAAAATTTTTTCTCATAAGTGCTCTAAGTTTGTTTTTGTTTGTTTTGAGTTGTTGCTCAGGCTGGCCTTGAACTCTATCCTTCTACCTCAGCCTCCAAGCGCTGGGATTTAGAAGTGGGCCACCACACCTGGCTCTCTCAAAAGCTTTCGATTCAGAGACAATTTTCAAAACAAAACAAGTCAGCATGGAATGAGCAGAGGGAAAGTACAACTCAAATAGAATCTAAAGAACTTGTCATCGCCCAGTATCATCAGCTCTAAGCACTTTCTCTGTGCCAGCTCAAATAATCCTCAGAGTGGCTCTGGAAGACATGGGCCACTACCTCCATTTTATAGACATTTAAAGCAACTTGCCCAAGAGCACCCAGATAAGAAAGTAGCAAAGTTGAAATTTCAACCCAGTCAGTTTGGCTCCAGAATCTGGGCTCCCAACTACCATACATACTTTTGTCTTTCACTAGGACTATAAAATTTCCTTTTACATACCTAAATATACATGTTTTTTGAAATGTAAATGAAAATTATATTTTTGGCATACAATTTAGTTATTCATTTTGGTATTTTTGTAGTATAGCATTATTTTCCAGAAATAGGACCCTAATTTAACAATGTGTCAATTGGAAAAGAGAGGGTCTCAACTATTCTCCAAGAATAAAATGAAGTCATAAATCAAGTGTCTCTTGGGATTCATGGAGTTAAATCATGGGTGTCCTTCAAGAGAGGAAAGCAAAGGATACAGAAAAGGAATCTTCAATCCTTCCCTGGTGGGTTTTCAAGGCTAGCTCAGGCTTGCCACAGCATAAATTTAGATCCCAGGAAACTCTATGGCCTCATTCTGCTCCCTCCCCCAGCACATGGGGTAATCCAGAGCGCTAAGAACTCCATAGAGCAGTGGCTTCTAAACTACTGAATACTGAATGATGCCAGATGTTAGCTACTCCAGGTGAGTGATGTTTTATGTGCACTGTTATTTTTAAAAAGTATAGAAGTTATTTAGATTATTTAATATAAATTTATATAAAAGCACCATTGAATTAATGGTAACTTTATTATATTATACTGTTCTTTATTGCATACACTAAAAGTAAATTTTCTGTAGTGTAGGCATTTGTTAAATCTTTACCTTAAATGATTGTCCTCACACCTGATGAGCTTAGGGGTTACTGCTGAGAAGGAGTATCTATCGGTGGGCCAAACACTCAGACAACTCAAAGACCCTAACATCATTTAAACCACGTAAACAGAGGCACTCATCTCTTCTTGTGAAACATTGCATGGGAGCACAACTCCCTAAGTCACTGCATAGAACACACACTATTATCAATGAAATTGGCTACAAATGTAATTTAGTTATTCTTGGGTACTCAAAGTTTCAGTAGGGGAAGTTCTGGTCTTAAAAACAGGAAACCTGTGTTCTAGCCTTAGTTATCCAATTTATTACACACACACACACACACACAACACACACACAAAGTTAATTAACACATGGGTCCTAAACATAAAAAATTCTCAGAATGGTAGACAGAACAATTAAATACAAATTATAATGTGACAACCACTAGTATTAAGGTTAGCACTCTGGGCTAAGGTGCCATAGTTGTGTAGGGGCATGTGGTGGAGGACAGGTGACGATGGATTCCACAGTAGGCTCCTGTTGCTTAAGACAAGTTACTTAATATTTCCCTCAGAAAAATGAATGTAACATCTGTCCAAAAATGTTTTAGGAAGATCCCATGGGCACAAAGCTTTAACAGTCCCCATTGTGAAGAGTGCACCCTCCCAACTTTCTTTAAATGTGTGACCATGTTCCCCAATGCCACCAAAGCTAATTGATTCAAAAGTCTCTTTCCCAGAACACTGGAATTAGGATTCAGAGATGTCGTTTTGTCCCTGCTTGCTATAACTTGAACTGGGTACTCTTGGGAGCTATGCAGTGGCTATGGACTGCCATGGGTATAGAATAGTAAACAGTAAAGAAGAGAGTGAAACAAGCTAGATGCTGAATGAGAGAAGAGGGACTTCATAGTCACAGAAAGCCAGAGAAAATACAGCAGATTCTTGGTATCACAGGTCTATGGTTGCTTTTGAGGAAAAGCAAGCATGCTCAGGATGCATAGAGTTCAGCACTGTACTGCAGATGGTGGATTCGTTTTTCCAGTTTGCTGCCCAACTTCTGCTAAAACATGCCACCCTTTTCACTTCAATTAACTGCATTATGTGCCCTTTTTGGCTTGGGAGGCTTACTATAACTTTTACCTTGCTGTTGGGGCACCATTTGCTTTTTGGGAGGCAGAAATTCTCAAAATTAAGGGCCAGGAAACACTCAGCAGATCACACAACAATTTAAACACAACTGACAATAACATATGAGTGACTGAGAGCTTCTCTGCACCCGCTGAGCTGCATAATGCCTGTGCAGGAATTTAACATTTGCTTTTGAAATTTCTTTTGACTAAAAAAATTTTTTTGACTGCACTTAGTCAAAACTGTGTGTAGGATTTGTGGGGGCTCAAGTGGTACAGTACCTGCCTAGCAAGTGGGAGGCCCAGGGTTCAACACCCCCAACACTGCCAAAAAACCAAAAGTGTATAATAAATCCATGATTAAGGTAAGATTACTGTAGTTGCCTACAACTACTGTATTTTCTAACAATGCTTTTTCTAACAATGTTCTAGTGTCTCTTACAAGGCTTACTGAGAGTTTTCTGTATTCTGTATTGATCAATATCAGTTCCTTTAAGCTTTGTGAGCAGACTATTTATAATCACAAAAACCTTGACTGATGAAAGTACTGTTATGGAACTAAAAGAAAACGCTTGTCAAAAATAAAAATAAATTTAATCTAGGTATAGTGGCATGCACCTGTAGCCCCAGCTTCTCGGGAGGATGAGGCAGGATCGCATGAGGCCAGGAGTTCAAGGACAGCCTAGGCAACAGAGTAAGACCCTGTCTCAAATAAATAAATAAATAAATATTTTATTTATAAATAAATAAGTAATCAAGTGCTATGGATTGAATAATAGCCCTACTAAATGTGTATGTTGAAGCTGTAATTCCAAATATGATTGTATTTGGAGATAAGGTTTAAGTGGGTAATTCAGGTAAAATGAAGTATGGGTGAGGTTCTAATTCAATTGGACTCCAGGTCATAAATTTAAGATTTCTCTCTGTCTCCTTTCATGCCCCTCTCTCTCCATGTACCGAGGAAGTCATGTGAGCACAAGGTAGCTGATGCCAAGCCACCTCACGAGAACCTGACAGTGCTAGCACCCTGATCTTAGACTTCCAGCCTTCACAAGTGAGAGAAAAAAAAATTTTGTTGTATAAGATATCTGGGTCCATGGTATTTTATGGCAGCACAAGCAGACTGATACATTGAGGAAAATAAAACTTCGAAAAAATGTGATTTTTAAAATGTAATAAATAACATTTTCCTAATTAAAAAGTAACACATTTACTGAGAAATTTATAAAATTGGATAATAAAAACAAAAAATAATTCAAATCAGTATGGTGGTACAAGCCTGTAATCTCAATACTTTGGAAGCTGAAGCAGAAGGATTACAAATTTGAGGGCAGCCTGGGTTACTCAGCAAGACCCTGTCTCAAAAATAAAACAAGGCTGGGCACCGGTGGCTCATGCCTGTAATTCTAGCTACTTGAGAAGCAGCAATCAGGAGGACTGCAGTTCGAAGCCAGCCTGGGCAAACAGTTCTCCAGATCCTATCTTGAAAATACCCAAAATAAAAAAGGGCTAGTGGAGTGGCTGAAGTGGTAGAGTGCCTGCTTAGCAAGTGTGAGGTCCTGAGTTCAAACTCCAGAACTGACAAAAATAAAATCTGTAATGAAAAAACTCATAATCTGATTGTTCAGAGATACCTATAATTAATCTTGTAGCCTTGTTTTTTCGGCAGAACAAACACGGGATTATACTCCCAGGTGCCTTTCCAAACCAGGGAGGCTGCAGCTTGGTTGTGGCTGAAGCAGCTCAGGGCAGGACAG